ATATAAAAATAGAATCGATAATATAATTCAATAAATAAATCTGATTATAATAAAGACGAATATGAAAATATGAATTATAATCTAAATATATTTAAATTCTTTCTATTTAATTCTTAATTTTTTTCTATATCTATTAAATCATTTTTTTCAAAATTATTTTCATTTTTAAATGAAAAAAATAGAAAATATATTAAGAACTAATTATTGAATTTCAATCAATATATATAATTTTCATTTCGATTCCTTTACTAAATTATATATAAAAAATGATATCTATGAGTCGTTATATTTATTTAAGGCTTAAACTATTTGCCAAAATTCGAAATAACGCCCTATTTTATTTTATCATATTAAAAAACTAATACGAAAACCAGACCTCGCTCAAATATCATTAATAATAATTTTAATTAGAAATAAATTCGATCTTTTTTGATTCAATTTACGATATTTATTATATCTTATTAAGTTATATTATAAAAAAAATTCTTTTCTAATATCTTCCTTATTATTTTTATCATTATTAATAAAAATAAATATTTTCATTAAATTTCAAAATAATCAACATCGGTCCCCATGCAATATAAATCATATTATCTTCATATATTTAAGCAGATTGCTATTTCTTACTATTGATTCCGAATTCAATCTTCTATTAATATCTAATACCATATATTAAATTCGAAATCTCCTCAATTATATATATATATATATTTCGACATAAAGATCCGGATGAAAAGGCTTAGAGATATCAAGAATTAAAAATCCCTTTATTATATCAAATTATCAAGAAAAAAATATTTCTAAATATATATATAATATCATCAATATTTCGATTATTTTTTAGAAATATTTATTCAAAAATTATTTCGTAAAGATCAGAATCCCATAATATCTATATAATAAGCTAAATTTGAACATATATAATTCATAGATATAAAATAAAAGCAATATAGATAAGAATATTAAAAATATAAAGTTTAGGATGCTAATAATAATATTAATAAGTAGAATCACGAGAATATTAAACTTTATGGAAGAAATAAAAAACTTGAAATATCAATTATAATTCATCATCTATTCATATATAGAATATAATATTTCTGTTAGCTATTAGCGATAGAATTGATAATGATATCTTAATGAATCATATCAAGGAGGAATCTTATCCACCTATATCTTTCTTGTTGTCCTTATCGGCCTTCGCAGGAGCGATCATTTTCGCTAGAACCGCAAGAGTGATCGTTGCCGCCCCCACACATGACAGGCTGAGGTATCAGCATCTTCCGTGTGCTCAAGAGGATTTCTACTTGTAGCTACTAGTACCGAATTCAAAGCTCTGATAGCTTCTAGCCTCTGCCTTTGAGCTCGAAGTCTCCGCAGTTGGATGCGTTTCGAAACAGAGATTCCGACGAAACGGGTTGGGGGCATCAGGGTCTAAGAGCCTTTCTGCCTACGTGCCCGACTGCACTGGATTGCGACCCAAAACCCTGCCCTGAGTTGTAACGGTTTGACTTTCAAGCCTATGTATCAGGCAGGGTGCTCTTCCCAGTCGCCAAAGCACCAACGCTGCTGCTCTTCACACCGCACCGGTGCAGGCGCCGAGGCATCGCGCTTGCATCGGCAGGCTCCTTGGGTTTGCAGGTCAAGGGCTTGCGCAGCTCAGGAGCCCTAGACATAGACTTCGTCTCAACGTCGAGTGTTGAGCATCGGGGCAGTTGCACGTCCAGCAACGTACTTTCATTGCTTACGCGGCGTTTTGCAATAGTGCACCGCAGGCCAGGTCGCGCTTCTTTTCAAACAATCGAGTGTCATGAGGCAGCTCCGCTCCGGTCGCTACGATGTAGCCGACAAGGGTCTTTGCCCTTGATTGCACGAATTGCAACAATGCCGGAGACTCGGAGTCGCTGCTGCTGGCGGTGTCCTCGACATCTTCAACTGGGGACATACGGGGCGATGACAAAGGCGACAACCGGTTGTTGCCGTCGGAAGCTTTGAGAGGGTCTTCTTCGCCACTGGTCATCACTAACAGCCCCACGATCATGCCCGCGATGCATGAGAAGTACCCGGCGAGTTTCCACCAGGGCTCCCCATCCATCTCCTCTAAACGGTTCGAGCATCCTGTTAAACAGTTTGTC